AGAAGAAGAAGAACGAGAAGGAAGACAAGCGGCCGCGCACGGCGTTCACCGCCGAGCCGCTCCAGAGACTCAAAGCGGAGTTCCAGGCCAACCGCTACATCACCGAGCAGCGGCGGCAGACGCTAGCCCCGGAGCTGAGCCTCAACGAGTCGCAGATCAAGATCTGGTTCCAGAACAAGCGGGCCAAGATCAAGAAAGCCACCGGCATCAAGAACGGCCTCGCCCTTCACCTCATGGCCCAAGGACTGTACAATCATTCCACCACCACCGTGCAAGACAAAGAGGACAGCGAGTGAGCCGGGCCCGACCCGGCCCCGGGGGCTCCCGTCCAGCCCCCCCCCGCCCCCCCCCCCCCGGCGCGGCTGCCCCGCAGACTGCCCCCTACGCCCCGCCCCCGTTGGCTCCTTTTCATTTCTTCTGCTTTAATTCCTAAGATTATTATTATTATTATTATTATAATTATTATTAAAATATTATTATTACGAACCTGACTGACAGGGAAGACAAAGAAGCCCCGTCCTCAAGAGGACGCTTTGGGAAGCAAAGCGAAACAAAACCCAGGACATCTCGACCGGCGCGGGGACTTGGAGGAGGGTTCTGTTTAAAGACATGAATCAAATTTATTGTTTATTCACAGTTATAAGGATTCCAGTTAAATCCCGAACACTTAAAAAAAAGTCTATATAGCCAAACATCGTATGATCTTGTATATATTTAATTTCAGGTAAGAAAATCAATTATGAAAAAGTGTAGTTTTTTTAAAATTTTTATTTTCCTTTCTTTCCCTCTTGCGTCCCCCAACGCCTTGGGTCTTTATTTTTGTTATTTGTTTCCTTAATTATTAATCTCCCTTCTTCCCGGCAGCCCCAGGTCCTGTCAGCATCTTAGTTCTGAAGTGTTTGTCTGGCTCCTTCTTCCCCGCTTTGTTTTCTGCCTTCTTTCCCCGCGTCCTCGTGTGTGCCTCGGCCGATCCTGAGTTTGTGTGTGTGCGCGTCCCTTCCCGAGGAACACCGGTGACCCACAGACTGCCAGACTGAACCCTTGCTGCAAGCCAAAGATTTTTTTCTGTAGTCTGAAATAAAATGTAGATTGTGTTCAGGATATATGTCGATTCTGTAATCCTTTCTCTCCCGCAGCCCTCCCCACTTTTATACATACATATATGAAAACACCCCATGCTGCTTATTCTATATATTTTTCTCGATCTACTTGGTAAATATTTCTTCCTTTAAAAAAGGCAATCAATATTTCATTAAAAATCTTGTTTTCTTTGTTTATTCGCTCTCATCTTTTCCCCTCCTTTTCATTCTGAGGAAAACCAATTAAACTTAACATATTAATAGGCGAATAGTTTGGTTTTTAGGATGGATGTTTGCTTCGAAACAAATCTTACTGAATGCAAGTAACCTGCTCCCCCCGCCCCAAGTGTGCACAGGACCGTGCCTCCCACCCTCCGACTCCTGTTCCTCCTCTTCTTCTTCAGGATTCATAGGCCTAAATTAATTTGTTTTCAGTGGAACTTACTTGGTCAGGACTAACTTTAAGTACAATTTGGAACAGTCCCAGTTGAAGTCAAGAATTGGACTTACAGGTCTCAGTGGTGCAATGCTATATGCAAACAAATGTGGTGCAGGTGTGTGTGTGTGTGCGCGCGCGCGTGCGTGTGCATTAATAATGTCACAAATTTTATGGCTCTTTCCAGTTCCAGGATGGGTTAGAAAGAAATTTGTCTGACAGCTCCCTGCCTTGTATCCTAGATCATATTGAATTTCTTCTGAGGCGCCTTTTGCCAGAAAGAACGGTAGAGGAGGGGTGTGTGTGCGCGCGATGTGCGTGTGTGCATGTGTAGGAGAGAGAGTGAGGGAGTGAACAAGAGAATGGGAATGGTCTGTACTTTGCAGACAGTTGCTTAGCAGCACAGCATAATGAATGGAGTGGTGAGGGGAGAGACTGTTTTCCTTCCTTGGCCTTCTTGGAGCAGCCACAGTGGCGATGATGATAATGATGATGATGATGATGGTGATGATGATGATGATGACAACTATTACTATTATAATCTTATTCTTTTATTCCTCCCTTCACTTCTCCAATTTTGACCTGAGGTGAATGCTCAGGTGAATAAAACCTAGTTCTCCAATAGGGCAGCCTGATTAGAACAAAAATGGTGTTTAATTTACTTGGAGACTTCACCATCCTGGGAGTTGAGGATTAATGGGGTGTTATAGTGACTCTTCCATGAAATTGCTCAGTGTCTTAGAAGCCTCTAGGCTTAATCTAAAAACCAAAAGCCATTTTCCTTCCTTCCTTCCTTCCTTCCTTCCTTCCTTCCTTCCTTCCTTCCTTCCTTCCTTCCTTCCTCTCTGGAAATATGCAGCAGCACTTAGTGCTCCAGGTTCAACCTGCGTTGTATGTGTGCTGTCATGTGTGCGATCCCTAGGATTTACAGAGGACTGGGAAACATCATAAAAGGCCACCAGCAGCCATTATAAATAATATTAAGTCAGAGGGACCAACGGGTCCGTTCCGTGTAAGTCAACATCCTGTGTTCTTGGTCCCATTGAGTCCAAGGATTCTGCAATCTAAGGAGCCCTGCTTGGAAATAAACCTCTGGTTCTATTGGGGTTTGCTTTAAATAATTATGGCTGTAACTGATGACTTTTTGATTATTGTTTCTTATTTTTCCTCTTGTTCTCCTTAGAAGGTGGGTGTTGGTAGAGATGGTAATAGCAGCAAACTAGAAGTTAAATTAATCATACTCCCCCCCCCCGCTTTGCTTGATTTATTTATTTATTTATTATTGTTTAAAAAAACTGACAGACAGAATTATACTTCATTACCAAAATCAACCTATCAGTGCTGAGCTTTTGCCAAAATTCTAGAAAATACAAAAGAATACATTAGAGAGAGGAAGAAAGAAAGAAAGAGCAATACAGCCAAATCAGTGAAAAGTCGCTGCTTACAATGGGATTGTTGGCTTACTTTTCTCCCACCGAAATCATTAGAACTTTAAAAACATTTGGTTGGATCGTGGAAAAGTCTGTATTGTTGTTCAGGTGTTAACTCCGTTCAGTTAAAATCCCCTATCAGGATGTGTTCTGTCCTCATGCTGCTAATGAAAAGGAGATCGTGGCGCTGCTATAGTCAGGTTGAGCTATATATATTCCCATCAATGAAATTTGCTGTCTGGAAAGCCTGTTTAGAGATTTCAGCCTGAGTTTGTTAATCTACTTTGGGGTATTTCTCGCTGACATGAAGGATCTGTAAACCTCTTGAATACCCAGCCTACTAGTTAAAAAGTTGGGGAAGGTGTGCTTTTCTGTTGGGAGGTATGCATTTCCGGATCATTTTAGTCCATCCACAAAACCTCCGCTAGCCTTCATTAATTTAACGCACCAGGGCATCTGGAACACAGCCCTGCAACTGTTGGCCCTTGACTAGCAAGTACAAGCGCAGGTCGGTTTTATGCACTTACTCTGGAGTAGATCCCATGTAACTCAGTGAAATTAACTATTTAGGAAACACTGACGAGGGTTGAACTACATGGTGCATTATTTAAAACAAAAGAGAGCAATTCAACACTCCCCCACCCCTTAAAACGAGCCAAACACCAGATCTTGAAACTGCAGAAATGTTTCCAGGTAGTCAGTAATTGGTGAGCTTATAAAATCTCCTGCCAGTGGAACAAACCATGTGGCCCTTTGAATCATGATCCAGGTTTATTGTGTGTTTATCCTGTACTCTTCCCCTACACACCTCTCTTTCCAATTTATCTTTGCAGTAACCCTGCAAAGTAGGATAGAGGGTTAGGGTTAGGGTCTAACAAGTCAGTAATATTTATGGCTCACAAGAGGGAACAGAACTCTACTTTTTCCAGGCCACCTAGAATACTTTTTTCCCCCCTAGGCCAACATCCAAGTCGATTTTCATTTTGTGCATATTGTTTGAAAAACAACAGCGCTTGACCGCCTTGACCCATGAGAACCTCTCCTACTGTTAAAATGTGATTTTGATCCACTGGAATTAAAACGAACACAACCCCCAGCATAAGCGTGCAGCCGCCCATCCGATTGCTACACATCTGTTGCCCTGGGATTCTTTCAAACCTTGGCCATTTTTCCCACCGGTTCTATATGATTTTGGTCCTTAGGATTTCCATTTTTCCTATCGTCAAATCAGCTTTAGAGACAGAAATCTAACCCGGTGTACTCCAAAGTAACCCCTACTGAGCTCTGCGTGACTCCCCTCTTCAGGTGTGTCTGCTTAGACCTAAATCCTAAGGAACGCAGTAGGATGTATTCCAGATTAGATTTATATTGGGCAGCGGCAAGACTCAACTGCAACAGTGTGCCTCTTTCCTTCAGTTTTACCAGGCACTTTTACCAAGAGAGGCGCAGGATGAGGCTAATAGTCTGCATTCCGATGTGTATTTACCTAGGAGTAAACCCCTCTGAACACAGCGGGGAATGGTTCGGAAAAAATTATACTGAACCGGCTTCAGCTTCCAGAATGGATATAAATAGTGAGCTGAGAGACCTCAGCGATGTTTCCAAAAGATCTTATTCTGCAACCATAAAAGGTGGAAATTTGCCCCTTTGAATCAAAGGCTTTCAGATCGTGCTCCAAATTTTACAATCCCACTGAAAGAATGGAATCAACTGCCTTAATGTCCCCCTTCCCTCCGACAAAGAGAAAATTAATTAAGCTTTGGACTTCCGACATTATCGATTCATGGCAAGTAATAGAGTAAAAATCTTAATTTCTCTCGGTGCTACTGCTTGGCGCCGGCTGACGTTGTACAGAGTTCCCCACTGCAGGAGAAGACGCGTTTTGTTGCAAAGAATTGCTGGACGAGCGCTCTGCTCGCTAAAAGCAATGCAGGTGCTGTAATTATGTCTCTTCTTTTTGCGGGGATATTTATGGAAAGGCTAAGCCCCGCCCACCTACCCCACCTCCTCTTTTATTTGCCGAACCTGAAGGAAGAAAGAGAAAATAACTGTTTGTTGTCATTCTGATTTTGGAGAAATCCTTTTTCATTTTTTGGGGCCTCTGAAGCACCCTTGCAAATCCAGCTCTCAGTTTCTTTTTGTCTTCTGATATGCCCATTCCCAGTACAAAACAATTCCCTTCTCAGGTCCAGCCACAAATTCATCTAAAATATAGCACATATTTGCAGAGTACTATTGGTGTATGGCTCTTACATTCCTATTGCTGTGGAAAGTCAATAGAAAAATTTGCCCCTTCATTTAAATAAAACATGAGCACGCTGGTGCACACCCACTTTTAAATCATTGTTAAC